GGGGGGTGGGGGCGGTCCGCGTCGGGCGGTGGGTGGGCGGGCCCTCCTGCTCCGCCTGTCTGGGGTGTGTCTCTGGCTCTCTGGGGGTGCCGGCCTTCGCCGCCCTGGGTCCTTGGGCCTGCGTGGTGTCCTGCAGCCTCTGTGGCTCCATGGTCTTGGGGTCTGGGCGCTCCTGCGGTTTTGGGGTGCCATACCGCCCCCCTTCCCCCGCAGGGCTGGCCCTGGACCCTGGTGATGGTTCTCATAAACACATTGGAAGGGTTCAAATACACGCATGCATGTTTGATACTTCAGCTCCATGACGCATCGCAAAGAACCGATGGGATCACTCCAAAGGGGCCCACTTGCTTCTCAAACTTACCACACCGCGCTGGCAACTCTTCTCTGCAATCGGGCTTTCCCCCTCCACCAAGACTCTCACATTTTTGGTGTTCAGTATAGACTTCTCTTTTGTTTTTGTTTTTCAGTACAGTATAGTAGACATGTATATGTTTATTTTCGATAATCTGCATGGAGCACAACCACCTCAAGGCCACAATACATCAGCTACACTGCCTGTTTCTCCTCTGTTTTTTTGTTTGTTTGTTTGTTTTTTCCTCCTTCTTCTCCGCATGCACTGTCGCTATATAACTCAGGACTTAAGCACCTGCCCCTCAATTCCCCCTGCTTGTTCCTTACTTTCCCCTTGACACATTTTGGTGTATCACGGCCCTCTCTGACTCATATTAGGAAGTTTTTCCAATAAAGGCTGTTAGGCTAGTCTCCAGTGAGGGTGGGTGACGGTCACAACCACGCACAGTATGGGTATAAAATACTTGACTGCAAGATTAACAGTGCATCAATCTTCACAAGAAGCTTACACTCTTTAGTGGCGCTAAGCTATGAAGACCAATGCAGACAAAAAAAAAAAAAAAAAAAAAAAGACTGGACATGACCTAAATTACCTACTGTTTATTGTCCAAGTGGCAGTGTGAAGGTGACAGGTTTTCTTGTAGTCATCAATCACACTAAAACACTTGAACTGTTCTGATCACTACAATAGTCTCATTCATTAAATTGGGCCATGTAGACTTTATCATTGTCTGGAGGTAGAGAATTGTCCCTTGTCCACTTGGGTGCTATTACCCTTTGAGTTCTTTTGAAGGCTTTCTGTGTGTGTTTGGCTGTTGAGGTTGGTGGCATAATCACGCATCACTGTGACATCATTTTCAACATAATCTCCTCTAAAAGTTCCTGCCTACAGGTGCTACAGAGGACAATTCACTCTTACACTGCAGTGATCAGGACCCGTGATACCCCTGACCACTGTGATAATCATCTGTCCTCTGTTTGTCCTCTTGCTGCTCAGAGATATCCTCCTGTAAATCCTTCAGTGTCCGAGCTCTGTTTGAGTTTTTAAAAAAGTAATACCTGATTGTAGGGAACCAAGGATGTCACAAAATTAAAAAGGGAAGGGAAAGGGTTCATCCCCAAATTCTGAATATCAGTAGTGTCCGTTTGTCAGTCTAGGTTGTTGTGTGAGTTGCCATATGTTGGAGATACTCCAATATAATGGAACTAGATGACACTCAAAGCGACAAAAATCTGCATTTGAAAAACTCAATAGCAATGTCTCTTTGCCTCGCTGTGAGCAGTTTCAAGTAGGAACTATTTTCTTTCTATTGAACTACACCTGCCAATCACAGCACAGAAGGCAGAGTGCATCTACTCATGGATGAGTGGTTCATGCTTTTGACAGTGGGAGATGTGAACATTAATGGCGTCCTCCTCGACTGAGCTGTAACATTAGCTAGCTCAGGAGCAGATGCACACTGTCTTCTGCATGGCGCTGTGGTTGGCAGGTGTAGTCTGATAGAAAATAGGGGTGAAAAATGATCTCTTACTTCTTTAGTTTATAAACAACAACAGTAACTCAGTGAGATTCAGGTTCTGTATACAATATTCGTAGTTCAACAAAATCTACCAGAAATTACACATTTAAAAAGCTCACAAATACATAAAATGTACCCTGGGATCTATCAGTGAACAGGTTATTTCCTTCTCTTTTAGCAAAATCCCAAATGACTGAGTTGGTTTTTTTTTTCCACCTGGACCTTTATGCTCTGCCATTTCTCCTCTAATCATCACGCTGTAACCTGTGACAGGCTATTATGATACAATAACTACTGCACATTCACATATATGTAGTCGGTTTACATTACTAAAGGTTTATGACAAAATCACTTGACGTTACTGACTCCTGTGTACACATGGGGAGAGAGAAGAGGGAGAGACGCTGTGCTGCTGCCAGAGGAGCCGCTGAATGAGTTCCCTCTGAGCAGTAAGTCAGTAAAACAGTTTGAGAAGTGCGGGGCTGTTCATAAAACATTCAGGACGCCACAGTTTATTCCACACTACTGAAGCTGCTCCTCTTTTCAGAACCACCATGGAGTCTGTAATAGTTTTGTTTTCGGCCATGCTTGTTGTTGCCACCTGTATACATAAACTGTGACGTCAATATGTCAACAAGTCGAAATATTGCGAGTATCACAATATAAATTTTTTGATCTCCTATAAAAAACTGCAGTATTATCTTGAACAATATGACATAGCACGCCCCTGGAAGAAAAAAAAAAAGTTCCTACATGAAAATGCTGTGGATCCCCTAATCCATAACCATTCATAATGTATCACACAAACATCGCTTCATCTAAAAAAAATGCAGCACAGTTTAAAAGTATTAGCAGGGACACAGAACAAGTATGGGAACTTTGAGACTGAAGACCCTACCTGTTAAATCACACTGACTGTCACATTATTTTCACCTGTTTACATATTCATGCTTGCTGTACTCATGTATTGGCTTCATAAGGGTTAACGTCACTTACAGTGATGAGTGTAGCTGCCGTCAACTCCAGTCAATAGCCATGTTTCCATCAGCCTGTTTAGATGCGCATCTAGAAGTATTGCATCGGAAAATTATGATGGAAACGACAAAATTCGAATTAAAATCCTCTGATTCACACAAACTAAAATACGCTCGCTTTAGCCGGGTTTTGGTTGATTCGAAAAAATGTTGATTGGCAAAACGGGGAATGGAAACAGTTATGTTTGAATTAAGTCTGACGTAGCGCACCTCTCTCCATGGCGATATCCACACTCCGGGTTGGGAAGGCGGCAATGCATTTACAAGCTGGTTGCCAACCGCCAGAAAACGTAGAAGAAGAAGAAGAATTTGTTTCCATCGCGGCCGCTTGGCTGTGCACGGGTTACCGTGTTGCATTGATGTATGTGTGGATGTGTGTGTGTGTGTATGTGGAGATCAGCGCCGGCACAAAAGAACCAAACGGAGTGAAGCCTATAGAAATTAAATAAAGTTTGTACCAGTACCAGGAAGTGCGGAACGCTGTGAGTGTGTGTTCCACCAATCAGCGTTCTTCAGCACACAGCCCCGCCCCTCAAGAATTCCGGGTAATCTGAAAAGTCCTACCCCTCTACTAGGTACTGTTTTCAGGTTAAATTTGGAGTTGAGGGAAAGTTTTTTACCCAGGTAATTTCGGTGGAAACGTGCAGAGGTTTTTCAAAATTCCAGGTAATTGATGAAAGTCCATGTGGTGGGAAAGGGGCTAAAGAGATAAAGTATGTACTTTTGATTCTGGTGTGAACTGTTCACTTAGGGTTTTTTGAGTCAAAGTAAGGTAATAAAAAGTTTTCTTCCAAAATGAGATAGCCATCATATTAAATGCCTCACTGCACAATGGTCTGCAGAGGAGCAATAACTGAATGCTGAAAATGATTTTCATTTTAAAATGAGAATTACATGAGAAGTGACACCCACTATTACAAAAAAAAGAATGACAGGAAAAAAGGTGCAGATTCAAAATGCCTGTCATCCTTTTGGGATAAAGTTTAATATGCAGTCGATCCAATTTGCTGTTGATGTGTTACATATGCCATATCCCAATTAAAATAAATTCAAATTTATACTATTTTATACTGAACAAGAATGGGAAATGCTTCTTTTGGCCAAGTTTGTTCTTGGTATACTTTTGAAGAAGGAGATATTTTATATGATGACGAAAACTCTGACTGTATGTGTGTCTGTGTGTGTGTGTGTGTGTGTGTTTCTGTTCCACGTTTTTCTCCTCACTGACTTGGTCAATCCATGTGAAATTTGGCACAGTGGTAGAGGGTCATGGGAGGATGCGAATGAAGCAATATTACATCAATTGGCCAAAGGAGGGCGCTATAGCAACCGTGTGTCGTAGAGACATGAAACTTTGCACAGAGATGCCTCTCCTCATGAGGAACAAATTTGCCACAAGAACCCATAACTTCTGGTTATACAGATTTTCCGCTATTTTGAATTTTTTGAAGAACACTTAAAATCGATCTCTTCCTAGGAAGTTTGACCGATCTGCATGAAACTCGGTGAACATAATCTAGGGACCAATATCTAAAGTTCCCTCTTGGCAAAAGTTAGAAAACTTACTAAAACTGAGCTTCTATAAGGCAATGAATATTGCGGAGGTCGTGGCTCATCACATAAAAGTGTATAACATCTCAAGGGTTTCACTGATCACCACGCAACTTTGTAGGCATATGACTACACATAATCTGAGGGGACCCCTCCATTATTGACCCTATCAAACAAAATGGGGGCGCTAGAGAGCTAATTTCTTATCTAGGCCTAACCGCCATATTGATTTTTACTAAACTTGGTAGATATGTAGAACAGGACGCCTCAAGGTGACTGGAGAAATTTAACTCTAATTGGCAACTGGGTGGCGCTATAACAACAGAAAAATGCTTAAAAATGGCTAAAATGCGACCGATCGCTGTGGCTCCCACTGTGGCTGAATGTTTGGGATTTTTTTTCTTCTAATTTTTGGTATGACTAAGTCATGGTATGGTATGCTGTACTCAGTGGGTATGGACTAGTACTTTATTAATCAAAAAATCACAGTTTCTCAACAGTGACATTGTGTTTTTGACATATTGAAAAATGTGAAAGATTTCAATTGTACTGTATTATCTGAAGCAAAAATCAACATTTCTGCATTTCAACTTTCTCTTGTTCCAGCTGACTGAGTAAAACTGTCCTGGTATGTCTTTATAACATGCCTGACCTGGATAAATGATGGCCAAATTCAAACACATGACGGCAAAGAATTAAAGCATTTCACTTTATAAAACTTTATTTTACTACATCTTTCACAGTTTTATAAATTTGAAGATAACATTTGACTCTACTAAAAGATAAATAAATAAATATATGAAACCACAACCACAGACAGACAAAAGATATTCCCACTTACACGGGTACAGAGCTCTCTTAAGAAATAGACACACACAATTCAATTCACACAGACGTAAAGAAAATGTTTTTTGTGAAATCTGAAGGTTTAAAGACTTTTAAGGCAGCACCTGAGAAACTGAATCCAGGAGATGAGGGCAGTGTAAGAGGAGAAGGAGGGAGAAATGAAAAGGAAGGGTGCAGCACAAGGAGAAAAGTTCAACAACTCAAATACAGTTATTAGACAAATACTTTGGCTCTCAAATGACCATTTGTGGATCAATTACTCACCCTATGTTATGATGAAATTATGAAGAAACCTTTTTTCTTGTATGCCTCTGCTGAATGAATAAACTGAAAAATTTGGAATGAACTGAATTTACAGGGGCCCGTGTTTAACAACATCAAAACTATATTAAACATCTATTAAAAATGCTCACACAACTTTTGCAATATAATCCAAGTCTCATTTATCCAGTGGTATGCTCAGTGCTTATCAAACAGACAGCCCTTTGCAACAGGGAACTGAACTGAAAGTGAAACTTATCTTTGCTCTCTTCAAAGCCAGACTCCATTGACAAATATAGTCTTTTTACCGAGCTGAACACAGGAGCTGCTGGTCTGCCACTGCCTCAATCAGTTAGTTTGTGTTATTATGTGACTTTGGTGAATCCAAACTTACCCTTTCAAAGACGAACAGTTTGTTCCTTGTTAGAAAGGGCTGTCTGTTTAGGAAGTGCTGAGTGTACGACTGGATAAATGAGACAGATTATACTGCAAGAATTGTGTGAGATTTTTTAAACAGATGTTTTGATATTTTGCTGTTGTTAAACAATCTCCATGACTTCAATCCTTAAAAAAATCTCTGTTTTTGGATTCTCCGTTCAATGTAGAGGCAAGTTTTCTTCATAAATTAAGTGTTACACAGGGTGAGTAATTGGTATAGAAATGATCATCTGGGGGGCTGAGTAATGGCATTTGCAGTCCTGTGGTTTCCCTTAAGTTTTTAAGAACTAGAATGAAAATCATCACTTTGGTAGCTGCTGAGAGAAGGACATGTCACATGAACAGCTTCAACAGTCAGGTCTATATTAAACAGCTTTGCTAATGAGGGAATTCATAAAGCTAATTAATGCACTGATTGGCAAATATCTCTCTGTCAACATACATCTGCATCTTCATTTAACATAGATGTTATGTAAGAAAATGTCAGCTGTCTCTCACCATCTTGACAGTTAGTCATCACTTTGTATTGTCACTGTTTTTGGAGCATGAATCATGTCATAATTTGGAATGAAAGGCTTGTGTTGTTTATTTGTGCAACATTATCCTCATCATTATTAAATAAAAAAGTAAAGTAGTCATGTGGGATTTCTGCAAAATCTGGAAGGCATCCTTATTAGGGAAGAGGGGGAAAAAATGGTCCTACGCAGCCAGATTGGGCTGTTGTCAGCCGCCTTTAGCTGAACCATCTATCAACTTAACCGTGATGAGATGAGCTCTGAGGCTGCATTTACAAGGTCAGCACACAATTTGGAGGTCGTTTTGGGGCTTCGGCCAATCTTCCACAGCGGACTGAGCAGCTCCATTAGTCTGCTGCTATCCAGATGGTCTGCTGCCAGTTCAGAAAATCAATAACTCCTGCTCTCATCCGATAAAACTCTTTTTTTTAAAGACACATAAACGATCAGGTAACACAACCGCTGTGCTGGAATTTACTGGGTTCACTTCTGGGCAGCGCAGGTTTGGATTACTCTTCCTATTATGTTAATAAAAATACAAATATGCAACATATGTGGTGCTGGAAACCACTGTGATACAGAGATATGCCTCATCAATCAAAATCAAAAGTGGGACAATGCAGTGTATGGCATTGCATTATACATTTATTCTTCTGTAATATTTTTTTAAGTGAATTCTTCATGATACTAAAAGGAGACCTATTATGCTTTCCCTTCTTTTTTGTCATATATATTTATGTAATGTAACAATGTTGGATGTTCATATCAAACAAACTTTCAAATGAGGTAAATGCATGTAAAACTTCTAAATTCTCTGTTTCCAACGTTTTTTCTTCTTTCGAGACAAGCTGACGTCAGCTCGTAACAGATGTCTTCACCTGTATGTGTGTATCTTGCTGGTTTGCTTATTGCTGCCATTTTGCACTGTGCTCTTACGGCAGTTACCGTTGATATCGGGATGGCATCACTGTAGAATTGTATCACCCATTCTCTAACTCCTTCCTATTTAACACTGTTAGCTCTGTCAGCACTGTTGCCGTTGTTTACCACGAACTTAAAACAATGAGCAGGCACAAGAAGAATACAAAGACTGTTTGGCAAACGGGCTCTGTAATGTCACTGTTCTGTGACGAGATGGCGAGTAGCAACCAGTGTTCTGTCGTCCCAGGGACAATAGGAAATATGTTTTGGACGAATAATCTTCTCCAGGACATCTTGGCAGGAAAGAACATGGTAAACTCATTACTGTCTAATCTGTGTGGACATCGGCAGGAAGAGAGCTAGTTAAAGTTAGCTGTTAGCAGCCGGTGGCCTCAACTATCAGCTCAAGGAGGTTTCATTACGTTATGTTCAAGCTTCATTCAGTAAAAATTAGTATTGGGCGGGGGTAAATTATAATGTTCTCATGATGTGTTCAATGTAATCGTGAAAAAAATGTAACTTTTGGTGGGAAACTTGAATAAAATAGCTCTTTGAAGGAGAAATTTTTTGATGTTTTTGCAGCAATATAAAATAGATACTAAAGAAATGTCATATTATATGAAGTAAAATGCTTTTGAGGCATTTATTGTTTCAAAAGATGTTTTATGACAAGTTATATTAAAGGTTGTTTCATAAATTTGTATGACTACATTCGTGCTTATTCAAAGGTAGTGTAATGAAGAGCTGAATGGCTATTTTTTTGATAGTGTATATTTTTTTGTTTCCCTGGCACAAAAGGGGGCATAAATAACAACAACAAAACAACATAAAAACATCCGTATTGGTATCAGCCAATTGTTATTTAAACATTAATATCACTATCGGCCCATCATTTCAAAATCGCTGCATCTCTACAAAATGCAAGTATGTACCAGAAAATGAGCAAACTAGGAGTTAGTTATGTTACCTTGAGGAGCCACTAACAGTAAAATAATTCATTCTTCAGCCTTTTAATGGTCAGTTTTGGTTGCTATTGTTGTCGTAATGCTGGGGTTTTTTTGGTGTAAAAATTTGAAATAGCGGATATCAGTGGCAAGGGTACAAGCTACTTTGTTTGAACCCTTGAAACTCTGTGAAAAACAACTAGAAAGAGAAAATGAGATGGAATTGAGGCAGGAAAAGTATCAAAAAACACACACATACAGAGCTTATTAAGGAAAGACAGAGAACTGTGGTGGGCGAAGGTCTGTAAAATGAGCAGACAGTCAGTAAGTGTGGGATAAACTGTCCTCAAAACAAGAAGAGTTAAGCCTAGCTCGGCGTAGCTTCAAGCAAACAAATCTTTTCTCTACCTAAGTGGTGACAAAAAGAGGTAAATGAGTGTCCAAAGACCGGAGCAACAAATTAAGAACAAAAGAAAAAACTCAAACCATTAAAAAAGTTTTCCATTATAAAAAACATAACCAACACTCTTGTCTTATCTAAACCATTGGCTCATCATCACTGTCTTCATCCCCCTCAAGGAGTCTCTGTAAGGGTCTCAGGCCAGGGGAGGGAGGAGGAGAAGGAGGAAGAGGAGGAGTGGAGGAAGAGGGGACTGGAGGTGGAGTAGTGGAGGGAGGCAGGGTGAGGTTGCTGTTGTAGCTGCAGCTCCCACTGGGTGAGCTGCAGGCCCCGGTGCTGCTGCTAACACCGCCACTTCCCGCGCTACAGCTGCTGCTGTCCTCCACCTCCATCGTCACGCCCTCGATCCACACCTCTCTTTCATTCTCATGGTAATGAAGATGATGGTGGTGGTGGTGGTGCGGGGGAGAGGGGGATGGAGGTTGGGGAGCAGTCGTAGTTGAGGGAGCGGAGGTGGAGGTCGGAGAGGAAGGCACAGCGGGAGAAGAAGGTGGAGGTTTAGAGACAGAGTTGTGGTTGTTGATGTCGCGAAAGCTGGCGAGGGGAGGACGGAGCCGGACACCAGAGCGCGTGGAGCCCTCGATGGCTTTCTGGAGCTGGAGGAGGAGAAGAAGAGGAAGGAAAGGATGAGTAGATAAGATGGTGGTGGAAAAGATGGAAGGAAGAAGAGAGGTGAAATGTAAGAAAAGGAAGTCAGAGGGCACAGCAGTAGGAAGACAGCATTAAAGTATGAGTCCAAAGAAAACAGGAAGAAAAAGAGGAAAGATAGAAAAAGAAAGGACATAAGAGTGAGAGAGAAGACAGCACAAATGATAGAGAGATTGTTGTGTAATTGGAAGAAGGGATTATAGTGAGGAAGAAAAGCAAAAGAAAATTAGGTTTAGGGGTAGAGGTGTGACACAAGAGTGGAGACAGAGACAATAACAGGTAAAGACAGAAGAAATGATGTAAATCAAAGAAAGTCTGAAACTTAAGCCCCGTTTCCACCGAGCACTACGGTACAGTTCAGTTAGGTACGCTGTTTTTCTGTTGCCACTGTGAAAAGTTGTGGATGGTACCAATGGAACTGTTCTGTACCGTCCCCATTTTTGGTCACCTCTCTTTTGGGGTACCTAGCAAACAGATCTGGCACTAAAAGGTGGAGCTGTGAACTCTGCAGTCTGCTGATTGGTCAATAAAGGACGGTCACTCTGCTCTGGGCCGAGCTGTGTCTGGTTTCGAAGCTCATGTAACGACTGTTCATACTGTGGAGAGTTTTATTAGTAAACTGTAACTATAAAATGAAAGGATGTCTTGCTGCCTCTTGCAGCAGCTGTGGTCAGAGAAAAAATAACTTCAGTCACTGGGCCGACTGCTGACAACTTTTAAGGTGGAATGTTAACTCTTAATGTTACTCAATGCATGACATTGCAACGTAAATCAATTAACACACCTTAAATATTCCTTATGACAACTTTGACCATTACTTGAGTTTTTATATGACATACACTTTTGGTAATGAGTGGATCTTCAAGAGTATATGAATATCAATTTTGACTGGGTTATGTGAACTGCATATATTCTAATCCTCACTCGGAGAAAAAAAAAAAAGCATTGCAAAGCACGGTTCCTGTGGGCTACAGCAACACTAAACCCCTGAGCTTGCCTTAGAAGGACTAAATGCACAAACCCACTATTTTTAAATATCCCATGGAGAGAGACTCTCACTGCAGCCTGTTTTATTTTCTTCTGAAAATGTCAACGTGTAACTCCATTCTGTGAATGATAAACAAGGTGCAGACTTCCATTTGTGTCACCGGTAATGAGGAAATACAGTGAGTGCTGGATGGAGTAGTGAGTGACAACAGCCCCGCCCACATGAAAGAGTACTGTTTGCAGTGGAATCACCAGGATCTAGGTACCATAGTGATGGCCAAATGAAGCCTCATGAAGCATTTCCTCCATTTTATGAGCCCACTAGATGGCGCTTTTTTTTTTTTTTAAAGCACACTGAATTGCCATTCTTTGAGTTTCTCTCTTTAAACCAAGAGCGGCATCTAGTGGGCTCATAAAATAAAGAAAATGCTTCATGAGGCTTCATTTGGCCATCACTAAGGTACCATGTCTAAAGGGTTACTTTTGGTTCAAAAGATACCATACCCAAAGTGTTTGGTGGAAACGGGGCTATATGGAGGGGATATTGATTACGCTAACAAAATACTCATACATAATTCAAAAAGCTTTATGAGACTCTAAGCAAATCAGAAGCAAACTGGACTTGTGTTTGCTCCAAAGTCAAGACAGACAAGCAAAGACTTCTAACTTTCAACAGCAAGCATGTGTGTTTAGAATTATTAATTAATAATAGATAGACAAGGGCACTCAGTAGAGTGCAGATCTTCACCAGGCAGCCTTTAGACAACTCCTGTAAATTCATCAAAGCTGCTCCAGCGCATTTCAGAAGCGTCCCCGCACCTAATAAAAATAAGCACTTTGTCTATGTTTAAAGAAGCCACAGTGCACTGCACAGAGCAGTCCATTTTCACTCTGACCTCGTCACATATCGACGTTTAGTCACGGACTTTCACGTCCAGATACGATGCGCAAGGTACCCTGGGTGCATTCGTTCATTCTGGGACACCGTGTCAAGTTCTGCCTGTTACATGCATTGTCTGTTTTCAAAATACATTTCAGTTTTTACTGGAAATTTACCATTCACATACAGTCTCTTTCAAAAAAACGCACTACATCTGTAAAACACTGCAAAAATTATATATTTTTTTCATCAATAACTAAAGCATGTATTTAGGTTTAGGAAAAAATAACAAGGTTTGGCTTTATAATCTTACAGGACTTGACCACCATTCTCCTGGGTGAAGGTTGGTGTTTGTTTGACGCATCAACCCCCTGGATATCAAGAAAAAATTACCAAATCAACAAAATCTGCAAAATCTATTACATCAGGAGAACAAAACACTCAGTTTCTGAAACGCTGTATAGCGGACAGAACAAAAAACAGATCGCAGCTACAGCAGCTGGAACTTGTCGCAGCTGCACCCTATGGATTTGACCCTCCTTGCTCCCTTACAGTTAAGATGGCTGCAAAGGTAACAAAATTGGTGATTTACTGATCTGGTCACGTGCTTAACTTCAGTGGATCAAAACATATCATGTATGAAATTAATCTGCAGATGCTCTGGTTCAAGACTGAACTTCTCAATGGATGTCAGATTAGAGCCACAACAAAGGCCTGCAACAGATGGTAATGATTGTTGATTGTAGCTGAGCCGATTTCTGGAAAACTTGTTACCCTACCAGTCAGTTAAGAGGAGTGGGGAGTCAGCAGTCAATGATGATTAAAAACAATCAATAAAACAGGTTTTTCAACTATTTTGAATCACCATTCGCGACCATGAGAAGTCCTTGAGCAACCGTACATGTACACAACATATTAGGCTGATTGGTCCAGTAGTTTGCAAGCTTAGCTGCAAACAGACAGATACACACTCTCACAAAAACACTCACATGCAGGAATAGGAATATGCCTGAAAACTCACGTAAGCTGAATTCAAGTTTCTTACCTCTTTCAGTGCCACCACTCCCACCAGTTTGCCGATACTGGTCACATAAGCATGACTAAGCCCCAGCAGTGAGAATAAGGTGTGGGTCTGTGGAGACAGAGTGGAAAGGTCACACGTCAAATTACAACAAACTTGTACCCCTCAGACCAAGACGGCCTTTTTACATCTGTCTGTGACTCCAGACAATTTACAGGCTCTGTGCTCTTCTGTCAGCTCCGTCTAGACACGATGCAACAAAGACAGAAAGATGAAAGCAAACTGGCTCCAGGCTCCAGGTGAACCAGGTGAAGACAAAGTCCTTGAGTCCTTCCCATGCTCAAAATATTCTGTTCATTATCTGACCAAGGTCGCACTATAGATGAGCTCTTTGTATGCATCAGCACACCTCGATCACAAAGCCCCCTTTTGCTCATGAATAAGCAGTATCTTACCATGATAATGAAATTACACTGATGAAAAAAAAACAAAGAAAGAAAGAAAAAACCCAGCAATGATTCAAGCTGTTTGCATGCTCCAGCATCCTGCAGATATCCGGAAATGCTGCATCACCCTCACATCTGTCATAATGAGGATACAAGCATTTAACACTGATTTTACAATGCAGGTAAGCTCCATATTTTTCATATTGAACTATTTTCACTTTTTATTGTGTCTTTGTCACCTATGTGAGCAACAATTTTTGAATTTGGTCCAGTATTGAGCCAGAAAGCTGCATGATAACAGGCTGTAATGTAACCACTCAGGGCATGTTCGCACTGTCAATGAAGGACCACTTAAAAGTGTTTGTTTTTGCCACTGACAGACTCAGATTGTTATTCCAAGTGTCTGAGAATACTATGAAAAGGATCCATACAGAGATAGACCTATTTGTTATGGTAAGATTACTTTTGTTTAACCAGAAATCAGCATTGCCAAAGCCACCAGACTCCATTTATATAAACAGTGATTTGCCGTGCATAGAGCCAGCAGGTTTTCACATCTAACTGAGTGATTTAAGGGATTATGTCAATCAAAGCAGAACTGATGATGGTTGGAACAGTGAAAAGACAAACCAAGACAGTGTTTGTGGGCTGTATTTTGTTTCTGTTGACTTTGAATGAAGTGTTATACAATGATACATTGCTGTGTATTTAAAGGCAGTCTGGTGGGTTTGGCTATAGTCATTGTTGGGGCTGTATCTGGTTAAATAAAAATGATCCTACTCTTTCTCTGTTGGGATCCTTTCCATAATTTTGTTACTGGACGTACATTGACAATGCATATACCCCAAGATGCTATGCTGCAGCCTTTTTTGCCACCGCAGCAACCTCACTTAACATTGGACCAGTTTCAAAAATTGTTTCCACTCGTCACTTGGACAAAAAAGCATGGGAAAATACTGAGTGCATTTACATGGACAGTTTAATTCCTTTTTCATTCGGAATGAAAGTTCATTCCTATTAAAAGTGATCTTGTAAACACCTAATTCGGAATGAAAATGGCCAAAGCGATTGAAAATTCAATCCGATGTAAGGGGCTGGAATATTCCATTTCTAATTCTGAATGAAAGAATTTCTCGCACTTGTATACACTCATTCCTCTTTAAGTTCATTCTGGTCTTTCTGCGCATACTCGTTTCCTTGCCCTTCTGGCGCGATGATGTGTATAGCGTGCGTGCAACAAGATGGCAGCTTCTGTCTCCCTTCTTTGACCTTCTACCTCCCTTCTCCTCCTCAACAGACAAAGCATTAGCAGAACAAGGTTGTTGTCGTACTGCTGCTTCAAGACTATAAGCAAAATAAGCCTGAAAAAGGCACTAAGAACGACGTCGTCAAGCATCTTGTTATCCGGAAAGAGGACTACAGTGTTTTCTTCCAGTAAACGTAAACACGTGACATCTGCCCAACCCCCTATCCAATCAGAAACCTTCCCTGCCCCAAACCTTGCGTGGACCTGAATAAGGCGATTAAACTGATCTCCCGTGTAAACCCTCATTCGGAATGAATATTTCCCATGTAAACTACCTGGAAAGACTTTAATTCAGAATGATTTCATTCAGATTTATTTCATTCCGAATGAGAAGCCATCATGTAACCGTAACCACTGTCGAGGTTGGAAATTCCGACTTTACTCACTATGATCATGTGGAATGTGAAACATCTGTGGCTCTAACAGTGACATGATGCAAGTGCTGCCTTTGCACCCATGCTCAATCAACAGAGATTCCCTGACTGTTAGCCCACACAGCAAACATGAAATAAAACATGAACGTGCTTCAACAGTCTCCCCTCCCGAAGCAACTATTGTTGAGTTTTCATCGAGAGCGGTACTGCTTCTGTACTGACCAGAGAATGAATGAATTGTCAAGTATAACACGTGGGTGCTTCTTTTGTTTACCTCTCCGGCAGAAACAATGGTTTTTAAAAGATGGAACTTTGCCTCATGATGACTGTTAACAAATGAAAACTTTCTCCATTTAGAACCAACAGGCACAACTCCCACATATCAATATTTGGGTGATTATGTAACAGCCCCTCCACCTACTGACTACAGTTAATAAGATTCTATCTCAGTCAGAAATGAAATGTTGTGTCGATCTCCATTTAGTGAGAAGACACTATGTGAATAAATCCAAGTCTTCACTGAGTGTTTTTCATGTGCCATTACTCTTCTGCCAAGGTTATTTACATCCCCTGGTGAATGAGATGTTACAGAGGTAAACAACTTAAGGGGGCGAGTGTGGGAGCATCAACAAAAGACTCAACGACTGCTCGAGGTGCTGAACTCCATTTATATGCTTCTTTGCTTTAAAAAACTGGTGACAAATATCATAAACTCTTGTCCATGGCAAATTTATGCTTTGCAATAAAATCAGCTGCAGGCTATCCATCCAAGTATTTTCATGCAAATTAGGATGTAGTGAATAATACATTTGAATGAAAATGTAAGGAAAATACAATATTTTGTCTTAGAATTTTTTTTATGTTCGCTTGAGATATTTTCCTTTTTAAATGAAGCAACCGTGCAATAAATGGTGATGGAAATGAAGTCGTTGAATGAATAATAATTGCCTCAGGCACATACAAACATGCTCTTACTGTGCATTCATTCATTATCTGTAACCGCTTATCCTGTTCAGGGTCACAGGGGGGCTGATGCAGGGGGGAGGTTGCCAGGCTGACACACAGAGACAGACAACCATTCAAACCTATGGGCACTTTAGAATCACCAATTAACCTAACCTGCATGTCTTTGGTGTGTGGGAGGAAGCAAGAGAACCTGGAGAAAACCAACGCTGACACCAGGAGAACATGCAAACTCCACACAGAAGGGCCCCGGCAATTGTCAGGACCCGGATGTCTCTTGTTGTGAGGCGACAGTGCTAAGTACTGCACCACTGTACTGCCCCTTGTTTACTGTATGACATGACACTGCATGACACCTGAAAGCAGAGTGTCAGTGGTCACTTGAATGGCTACGTTATGCTGCTGGAGCCTTTTTTTTCAAATTGCAAACACAAAACAGTAAACCTGCTGCTGAGAGTGGAGCATGTCTTGGCATGTAGCACAAGTCCTCCAAAATGTTTGGACTTATATCAAAAAGGCCTCAACAAGTTTATTGTTATTATTACGTAGCAGCTACAGCAGACAAGTGGTTCCCACAAACAGCTGCTGATTAAGGGCCAAGACATATGCTACATCTTTTACTGCCTGAAACATCTGAGATCAGGTGCTAGGTGCTACTCTTGAGCCAACTTTCAAGGGCGTGGAGGCAGGTTGCTCCTGACGTTGCTAAGCAACCATAACAAGCACCGTATCATAGCCAACTAACAAAAAAATCTTGAGTTTGATACAGATGTTCTTCCAGGTGTGTACTAAGATATTGTCTGTGGGACAGACTGTAAAGCTCTGGGAAGCCCTGCACTAAAATGATCAACTCCCCCTCCATATTTACCAAACGACTGATATTTATGGAAGACAGGAAAGATATCTGCAGGCTGTGATTGGTCGCTCCTTGTCACATGAGACGTTTTTGGGTTTGTTTGATTTTTTTTAATCGCCCCTTTCGTGCATCTACATCAAAAGCAATAAAATTGAGGATGCAAACAATGCTACACGTGTGGTTTAGAACAATGATTAATGTAACTGATGTTTCCAGTGAGTGGTTCTAAACATTCCATTCACTAAAACATAAATCAGTGGTATTTTCAGTGGTAAAGTGATGCCATGGCCACTATACAAGATAGATTACAATGTCCTACAAATCACCTTTAAGTCAATTAAAAAAAAAAAAAAAAAAAAATCAAAATTACATTTTCCCCTGGTTTGGGAATTTCAAATTTGATAGATTTACCACTGGATTAATGAATCTATGAAGACAAAACAAAATTCTGTTTCCAAAATATTTAATTATGTGGCGTCTTTAACCACTCCTAGTAACTGCCACAAGTGGAGGAGTTCAAGTATCTTGGGGCAAGAGATGGATAGGTGGATCAGTACAGCATGAGCTGGTTAGTTGTGGTTTTTGAGCAGGGGTCTTCAACATTTTTGAGGCCAAGGACCACTTAGTTGAAAGATGGAGCAGGGACCCCTTTTATATATTGTTTAAAGCTATAGTTGGTAATCCTGTTCAGAAACACTTTTTGTTATACTGTGTGAAATGGTCCTTCCATCCTGAGAGTAGTCAATACATAATGTGCTCAGAAAAAGGAACGAAAAAAATCAGACCTCTGTGGCAGCTGCAGACCTGTAGAAACTCTGACCAATCCCTGCCTCTCAGTGCGAGTGGAAAGAACCATTCAGATGCCTTCATGTCTCGTCCTTATATATCACTCTGGTCCTGCACGAGTCCCCCTCCGTCCCTCCCTCCCTCCCTCCCTCCCTGCTTGCACTCATCACGTGTCATTGTTGCCAGAAATATTCAACACACTCCTCAGCAGAAATACAGAGTTATCAGGAGTTTGCTGAACAATGGCAGAGAAAATGCAGCCAAAAGTATCAATTCCAGCATTACTTGTAACGGCTCGCCCCACTAAACAGGCTAAGAAGAGAAAGCTGGAGGCAGAAAAGGCTGAGACGAAAAAGGCTTTGGATAAAGCGAGAGGACAAACCAGAGTCAACCAGCATTGCAGCTTTTGAACGGTGGAGAAAACTGAGGGAGCTGAAGGGCCTGAAAAGTGATGCAGAGGTTGCTGGGGGATTTGTTATTTTCATGGAATATGTAACGTTAGCCAACTTAGCTACTTTTGTAGCTCATATTAGCCCAATGCTAACATTAGCTTCTCTGCCGGTGTACTGCAGGATGCACGTTCAAGTTTGTGGGTCACTGACGGGAGGGGGAGGAGGGGGTGGAGCTTAGAGGAGGTGCCGCTTTCAAATCTTGCTAGCTCTCCAACATTACCAACTATAGCTTTAAAGCTAAGCTGCATACTAAACCAGGCAGATAGAGGTTATCTGGCAGAGTTCCATATCAGCCTCTGGCTGCAGTCTTGACCTGTATCAACAGACCAACCTGTTGAAGAACCAGGGTTTAGAGAGCGCTGAGCAAAGCTCTCACTTAACCACTCCATCTTCACTCCAACCCTCACCTATGGTCATGAGTTTTGGGTAGTGACAGAGAGAATAAAATTGCAGATACAAGGAGCTGAAATGAACTTCCTCTGGTGGCTGGGCTCAGCCTTAGAGACAGGGTGAGGAGCTCAGACAATCAGAGGGAGCTCGTCATAGGGGTCAGTTGAGGTGGCTCAGGCATCTGATCAGGATGCCTCCTGGGTGCCTCCCGTTAGAGGTGTCTGTGCATGTCCAACTGGTAGGAGACCCCAGGGTGGACCCAGAACATGCTGGAGAGATATCTACCTCAGCTGGCCCATTAACTCCTCAGGATGCCCCAGGAGGAGCTGAAAAATGTTGCTGGGGAGAGAGACGTTTAGAATGCCTTGCTTATTCTGCTGCGGCCATGTCCTGGCCCTGGATAAGTGGAAGATAAGGATGGATGGAGTTTCTGATCACATTTAGTCCTGCTAAGCAAGGTTTTTATGAACAAGGCCCCTTTCACACACAGAGTAAATTATTTGCACCCCTACCATGAGATGAAACTGTCTTTCATTTAGTGATTTACTACTGATTCACATCTTTCATTTGAGCCAATATCCTGTTTTCATAGACACTAAATACCAGTAATAAGGCAAGGCGCTCCCTCAAACAGCTGTTAAACTTTGATTTTAACATCTGCCGACCTCTGTGCTTATCTCGGTCTTTCCTCACCAACCTTGTGCAATGATGTTCTCTCAACCAGCTGGAAAGGGGAAGGGTCTATTCGTATCTCATCGATTTCCATCGGCTTGTCCATCTCTGCCTCTTCCCACGCTTTGATCTGTAGCAGAAGATAAAAAGGAAGGTCACAGAGGTGGAACAGGCTGGCATTAGTTCAGCTTTGCTCCCATAGAGGTGGAAAATCTCTCCTATTTAAATGTACAAGTTCAGCCGGGGGAGACCTCAGCATTTGTTTTTATGATGGGTGATATATAGAAAGTATAGGATTAAATACCTATCAGGCAATAATATTAACTGTTAAATAAATTATCAGAAGCTGTTTGTCGGTGTTAAAGTGAAGATGTGTGTGTGGGTGTGTGTGAGCGGTATGTGCAGGAGGGAGCAGTTGGTTTGCTCTCACTGAGGAGAGTTTTGCAGCTGTGAAAAACCTTGAAACCTTGTGTTGCGTCCTTGCATGTCACCGGTCTCCCCTCTGAGATTTAGGATGTCTGACACCTTTTAGCCTCTCTATGGATTTTACCTACGAGCCTCTGCCTGCTGTGACAGGGGCAGCAGTCTCGTAGAATTTACGGGCCGATGTTATGAGGCATTTTGGGAAAGTGCCAGGCAGAGTAAAGGGAGAGCCACAGACAGAACAGGACTGGAGGGCACAATATTGTTTTGGTGCTCTCCAATGAAAAAAAGATGTCTCGTTTAACATTCTGGCTGCATTCACAATGCAGTGATAAAGTGCTCTGAATCTGAGTCGTCTCCTCAAATGTGACACAGATCTCTAACACCTGTGACCTACATGTGACACAGAGTTGAATGCTAATATTGAGATTTGGCAGCATTCACAATAAGTACCACTCTCTTCTTACAGTTTTGGTGCTACGTATGTTAATGTGTGTGTGTCCTTTGCATATCTTGCAAACTGTTTATCTGATCTGCTTCACACCTAGTGGGTGTATTGCTGGGGACCCGAGGACTAGCAGTGTTGAAGTTGATGTGATTTGAACACAGCATGTACAACATTAATAAACTTTAATTAAACAAGCCAACAGTGCAGCAGTGAGGGTGAAGCTTCAAGGCTCCGCTGAGTTAAAGATGTTAACACTCAGTGTATTGACCCAGTGTTTCTCACCATGAGTGGCACATCTTGGGTGTGTTTCTATGGTATACTAACTTAAAAAACTAAAGATCCTGACACACCAAGCCGACAACTGGCTGCTGGTAATTGTCTGTGTGGTCTGTTGTCCTAGTTTTTGTGGTGTATCCTGCTCCGTTGACAATAGTTGGCAATACTTTTTTTTTTTTCTGATTAAGCATGTCAAATTGGCGTCCAAGAGGGTGGGGCCTGTCAGTAGGAGAAATCCCTCTGATTGGCAGCTTAGTTAAGTGCATCAGAAAAGAAATAGAAGTGAGGAAAGTAAACAAACAACTACATATAGAGGGAGTGGGGTTGAAACAAACATGTCATATCATGTAAGGTTATTTTTATTATCCACTGAGCTCTTAAGTAGATACTGTCCATGACTGTTTGTTATTGTTCGCTAGCACATGGTAAATATCATTAGCTCTTTTAACATTAGGTTGTGTTTTTAGTGTGCTAACTAAATAACTAGCGTCTTGAATAAGTCCTGTTGATCTTTTGCAATAACAAATACAGAGTACCGCTGCCTGCTGGTATGGTGAGTTATTTCCTTGCACACACTAGTTTGCCATTGGCTGTAGTCTTTGCGATGTATTCAAGCGCAACATTTTGGCCGAGACAAAGGCAACGTGAGACACTGAAACAGTCGGCCTTTGTCGCCACTAGATCATTGATGTCGGTTTGGTGTGTCTGGGCCCGTTTCTTCCTGCAAAATAACTCCACCTATAAAATCCTTGCTCTACTTTCTACCCTCACTGGTTATGTCATAGAAAGCAAATAACGTGCCTCTTTGGAAATTAGCACATCCGCTTAGTGTATTTCACTGATGTTTCTGCCATGACTAGCTGCGACGGATATGTTTTTCAGGGGCGGATTTAGTGATCAGCATCTGTGGTAGAAGTAGTGCTCAAAACTTTTCTTCTGAAATGAAGCTATTAATTATTTATAGTAAAACTATTAATACCGCACAGTGAAAGTCAACTTAATTTTAGTTAATGTCTGTTCATGGTAGAGCTTTCAGTTCTATATAATAATGCTGGACAGTTTAATGAATAACATGGAATTATATTTTTAATGTTTATATTTTGTGTATAAAATGTGTTTTTAAATGTCATTTCATACTGCTGACAGGTAAGGCTCATCATTTCTGATTTTTTATATCAGGGTCTCTTCAACAAAGTTTATTTCTTTCCATATAGTCATGCAGGTTTGGTCATATATTCCTTGGTTCTGAGATTTCTGCTGCAAACCCAAAAAAGCAGAGTCAAATGGAATTATGATTAAGTGTACAGCATTGAAAAATAATCAACAGACCTTGCTGTCAGCCATTTTTTAATACCAAAAGTTACTTCACCTTGGTTACTTGGACTCAGAGGACTTGAGAATCATTTTTGACTCAAGGTTTGGTGACTCAACACAGGTGTGAGTATCTGATCACCATGCTGTAAACCATTAAGCAGACACTTCTGTAATACCATGCAAATCCACCATCACTGCACCATTACCATACCTCCTCTGGTGTCATTGTGTCTGACAGGGGAGGAGGACAGGGCTCCTGGGGACAAAGAAAGGAAGAGACAGATGAGAGATGAGACATGTTTGTGTGTCACTTCTGTGCCTGAATGTCACCTCTAAATCAGGAAAACCTCACCTGAATCTTACATGAGGGGACCGAAGGGAAAGTAACTGAAAGCACAGTCTGTCTTTCTGCATACACTTCATCAGAGAACTTCAGTTCAGATAGAAAATCTGATAACTCAACATTTACTTTTGGATTATTATTATTAATAATAATAATAATAGTTGATGTAAAAAAAAAAGCAAAATATACCAGAAAGCGAGTTATTTGCATTCCTGAATCTGTCTTTAAAGTGTCTGCAGATAAAATAACCACTTGTTTTATTCTTAAAAATGCAATGTACAATATATATAAATATCCTGAATTGGACTTATGTCTCTTTCACAGTGATCATGACATTTGCAGTAACACATTTGTTGAAATCAGGTTGCTTTCATCCCCTTTTTCTCAGTTCATCACTCTCACAGCACATCCAGCAGCTTTGTGAGTAAACTGGATGCAGTAGGTGAAACTCAGGCCAACACCTGCTGTGACTTGTTTTGTGAAACTGAATGTATTAGTGTTGCGTCCCTCATTATTCACCCACTGTTCAGGCAGCTTGGCTGCTTCTGTCCTTAGACAACAAAAAGAACGTGAGACAGGTGTGTGGTTTCTATGTCCGAGCGCAGCAGGGAGCTAACCTTTTCTTGATTAACTCCATAAGCATAAATGGATGAAAGGTGTGACATTTTACAAACTCCCTTGTTATTTTTTATCTCACCTGCACAAATCTGTAATTGTGAGTCTGTGTAGCTGTATTATCTTTCTTTTTGTTTATTACTGCACCCACAGCAATTATACTATGATAGCAAGAATTAACAAGAAGATGCTATTAAACCAGCCAGATAATATTCTAAAGGTCACTGTGTGGGTACCTGCCATCAGGGGCCGATAAAATAGACAAATACCTGATTCGCAGCCAGAATTCAGCCCTGGTTTGGCTTGATTACTGGTGGCAATTTCCTACTGTGAGTCTATTTGATATTCTGGGCTGTAGAGTTGTGGCTCGCTGCTGTAAAAACAATCCCCATTGCAGGAATAGGATTGAATCCAAAACCATAATAGAGAATCAGACTGGTAATACACAGGGCACAGCAGTAGGCACAACAGAAATCACATTCTAATCTTGCAAGCTTACAAGCATATGCTTATTTCCAATGTGGTTTTCATTCCTGCTCGTATAAACAGACGACATGTATTGCTTTCCCTGTGAGCCAGGCTCACCGCCAAGCCGAATAATAACTCTACCTCCAGTATCTGGCACCCCCATTTCCATATGAGAAGGTTGAAAGAAAGATGCTCGACTTTGGGGAGTTTGTCTGAGGTTGAGGAAGCAGTTGTGTATTCATGTGTGTCTGTCAATCAGATAAGTGTGTATCTGCCTGAATAGAAAGCAGACCCCACAATGAAAAATTCACTCTGCAAAAAGTGACGGATAAATATTTATATCTCTATCAGTGCCAGTGTGAGGATGTGGTTTTGGGATGGCTTTGCCAAAAGGAGGGGGGGGATCATTTGCATTTCAATGGTTCATAACACAAGGGAAAAATTCTTGGCTATTGAGTACACTCCAGACGTCTCTGAATAGTTGGCTGAACAGACGAAAGGGCACAAAGGTTTACAAAGACATAAAATACACAGAAATTAGGAAACACACAAAGATGTTAGTGAGCAAGATTGCCAGCATGACATACTGAGTAGAGACAGAACACTAGTGCGGATGTGCAGATTTTGAAATTTCAGGCAGAGACCAACACCAATGTTTAAAATAACAGTTTGGCCTATAGCTTATACCGATGTTTTTGTGGTGTTGTTTATTTTATGGTTAGTTAGTCCTCCTTTTGTGCCAGGGAACCAAAGAAATCTTCATTCTAAAAGAAGTAACAACTGTTTTTATGTAATTCATCCCTTCATTACACTATCTTTGAGTGCAATCTTCAGATCTGCCATACATGCCACTCTTCCTGTGAACCCAGTAAATTTCCACTCACCCCACTTCTCCACCACACCTACCTGCCAACATCTCCTGCTCCTGCCGAGCCACCACACCCACCTCATCAAGCCAACTCCACTCAACTGTGCCTCATTACTCCCTGCCACTATGAATACTCCAGCTTCACAGACTCTAATTGCCAGGTTGTTCCTTGTCATTTTTATGCAAGACTTTCCAGCGTGTGTTCTCAGACTTCTCTCTTGTTGCTGACCTCACCTGTCTCTGACTCTCTTGCTTCGCCTGCTCACCTGTAAACCAGTCAGGCTTCTGTCCTCGACCAAAAGCTCTGCTACTGCATTCCTGGTTTCTGCTCACCTGTTCTATGTGGCTATGTGGAGAGACTGCCAGTCAGCTCTCCATTGTGAGTTTACCTGATTTGCTACCTGTGATTTCCTGTGCTAAGAATTACCTCTTCATGTGGCCGCACATTCTGCATTTGTGCGTGTGCGACTGGCACAGGATCCACTCATCACTGCTGGTTCCTCGACTCCTCGCCGGTTCAGACCAACCTACAGCAGGCTCCTCACAGGTGTGTTCCCTTGTGTGTTCACCTGGTATCGGACCCTCTGCTCATCTGACATCACCTCCTGTCTGCTACCTTTTAGCTGCAAACTTTTGAACTGGTTCTGTGCATGCAGCAGATGCCAGTGACATACCAGCTCTCTGCGCCAGCATGCTATGCCTAAAGTATTGGACTGAACCTGTGTCTCAGAAGGTCTTGATCCAAGAAACTGACTTAAACTGTGGTTTACCTGCCTGATCATTCTGTGATTAACAAGCAGTAAATCAAAGTTAATTTCAAACTGTCCTGCCTGTTTTCAGTGCTGCTACTGGGTTCAAACCGCACATGTTACATCAATAATGGTCGCAAAACAACAAAGTACATGTACACAATGTAGCATTATCAGGGGAACGGTAGGGTGCATCTCCTGACGCAGCAATAGTGAATGTAACACATCCTGTTGTCCTGAGGGCGCTTGCGGTAAGATCTCTCTTTGTCCCAGACATGTTTTCTAGTGTTTCTCAGATGACAAGACACCGTTAGTCTTGAGCCCTGCTTTTCAGCCTGAGCAAAATTTATGTGACATAACAGAAAAACATCCGCCACTGCCATTAGTGAAAGTCATCTTATTTGCCAATAGCCTAATGGCAGTAAACAAGACAAATATTAGCTGATACATCAGTGCATAATGAATGCTGTTGCATCTAATTTATAACTATACACACAAGTATGCGTAGGAATGGACAGACATGCAATAAAAAGTGCATACACACACCTGTGACTGTCCGTCTGTCTTTCTGTTCTCAGAGGTGAAGAGATTCCTGAGTGTTTTCCTCACAGACTGAAGAGGACCTTTTTCTGGCAGAGGGAAAGACAGACAGGTGAAGAGGGAGATGCAGCAGGTGAAGGTCAATACATTATACAGATGCAGCTTTTTGGAAGACTTAAAACTGTTGGAGAAAATAACCTGACTACAAATGGAGGTTCTGAAAGACAGCGGCAACCAATGCAGCTCCTTATTGTTGTTGCCTAGATACCATTTCACCGGAAGACTGTCTGTTGTTGTGTGTGGTCGGCTGAGAAGTTGACTGTGTCACAATAGATACACACATACCATCTGGTTACTGGCAGTGAACATGCTGCCAAACCTCCCCTCGTTGCTGTTAGGGTTGTGAAGTTATTAATTACTACCGTTTGACATCTGTTGAGGGCAGAGACAAACAAACTTGTCGGAGTCAGTTTGGTAAACAGTGTGAAACACTGACCGATGAATAAAATAGATGGTTTAGACCTTTTATCTAGTGGACTAAATGGTTGGAAGGACGTGAGTGGCTGGAGTGTACAGCTGACTTGGTGGGGGTTTCTTCTTGTCTATTAGCATTTCTTGGTGCTTTTCTGCTGCAACATGTCAGTCAAGTGGGATGGTGTCAATCAGCAGAAATGTCTATGGCATCACCCTCATCCATATGCACTTGTGAGCGTCTCTGTGCAGATGCCAGAAGAGTAAGAAGTTTCAACAAAATGGTAACTGGCTCGTTAAAAACTCCACAGACTTACTTAGCGGTTAACAAAAAAAAAAAAAAGGTTTATTACTGGCTAAAAATGTGTGGTGGATGGCGTATTGTTATGTTCCACCTGTAGATATTTGGATGGGCATTAATGTAGCTTTTGCGGTTGTTCTGCAGATTTTATAAAATAACACTGTTCCTTATAATTAGATTAGTTCCATTGGTTTATCCTTTCATACTTCATAAGCACAGACAAGATGTGTTTGTGTCCTCTGGGCACTGATACTTAAAGCTGACGAGGGCAGAATTTGAAAATACACCTCCTCATGCAGCTCTTTTGTACCTTTCCTAAGCCTTACTTCATTGTAGAGTTGCGCCTGGCACATTGGCGTAGGCCCTACTTGCCCTGCTCCCTCTCTCTGTTTATCATAACACAAATGAGCTCAGAATAAGTTGCCTAGCCACCCACAGTCCCTCTGCCTTGTGTCTAGCTTCTGTGGCTGGAGGAGAGCGGGGAGCAGCTCCAGAGCTTCAGCTGGTGGCTTTAGTGGCCCGAGTTCAGCCATCTAATACCCCCAAACGCAGCGTGTCACTCAGTATGTTTACATGCAAGCAGTAGTCGAGCTAAGCTCATAGCTCTGCTAATCAGTCAAGTTGGACTTCTGATCTTGTCTCAGTATACATGCAGAAGAGAAAATTGAATTTCTGACCAAGCACGTCTGACTCCGCCTTGATAGGCGGCACTGTGTTTTTTTTTCAATAAATCTACGTTTCTAGTTTTCCCTTCCAAATGTTTAGCTCCTTTAGCTGTCGGAGCATAAATGTAGTTTCCTTGTCCTTCCAGAAGTGCGTCTTCTACTTGTCAGTCGCCATGGTGTTTGTTTGTTTGTTTGTTTTTCCGGTACTTACTGCACTGCTGCTATGTCATCTCCTTCTTCCAGGTGAAAGGCCACGAAAGAAAAAGTGGTGCATGCGCAGAACACCAAGTCCGACTCTGGTCGGACTAAGTGTAGACATGCAGCAATAGTTCGATTTTCAGTCGAATTATCTAGGTGTGCTAGTCAAGCTACGGAGAGTCCAGTTTCAGTCGGGCTAAGCTGTTTACATGCATTTAAAAGTCTAGTTTCAGTCGGACTAAGCCAATAATTCGATTTTCTCGTGCTGTATGTAAACGCACTGACTGTGGGCTGGTGGCCAACAGCAGTGCTGGATCTAACAGAAAGAAAGGAATGCCCTCTCTGTGAAATGACCTGTGATTGACCAAACTCTCCTATAACAGGCAAGAATTTCTAAAGCCTGAAAACAGAGCCAAGAGGAGGTGCAGAAGAGTTTTTTGCCCAGTGACACCAAAATAAAACTGCCAACACCAGCTTTTATACACTGCCTGTCCAAAAAAAAAGTCGCCACCTGGATTTAACTAAGCAAATAGGTACGAGCCTCCTATTGGATAATTACTGCATGGGCGATTATCTTTCAGCTGGCAACAAGTTATTTAACCCCAACTGGTGCAATGAGTTGCTTCTCATTTCCTAAACAACCATGTCGAAAGACACATCCCGTGGTCGTGGAAAAGATGTTAGTCTGTTTGAGAAGGGTCAAATCATTGGCATGCATCAAGCAGAGAAAACATCTAAGGAGATTGCAGAAACTACTAAAATTGGGTTAAGAACTGTCCAACGCATTATTAAAAACTGGAAGGATAGTGGGGACCCATCGTCTTCGAGGAAGAAATGTGGCCGGAAAAAAATCCTCAATGATCGTGATCGGCGATCACTTAAACGTTTGGTGAGATCAAATCGAAGAAAAACAACAGTAGAACTCAGGGCTATGTTTAATAGTGAAAGTAAGAGCATTTCCACACGCACAATGCGAAGGGAACTCAAGGGATTGGGACTGAACAGCTGTGTAGCCTTAAGAAAACCACTAATCAGTGAGGCTAACCGGAAAAAAAGGCTTCAATTTGCTAGGGAGCATAAAGATTGGACTCTGGAGCAATGGAAGAAGGTCATGTGGTCTGATGAGTCCAGATTTACCCTGTTCCAGAGTGATGGGCGCATCAGGGTAAGAAGAGAGGCAGATGAAGTGATGCACCCATCATGCCTAGTGCCTACTGTACAAGCCTGTGGGGGCAGTGTTATGATCTGGGGTTGCTGCAGTTGGTCAGGTCTAGGTTCAGCAACAGTATGTGCTCAAAGAATGAGGTCAGCTGACTACCTGAATATACTGAATGACCAGGTTATTCCATCAATGGATTTTTTCTTCCCTGATGGCACGGGCATATTCCAAGATGACAATGCCAGGATTCATCGGGCTCAAATTGTGAAAGACTGGTTCAGGGAGCATGAGACATCATTTTCACACATGGATTGGCCACCACAGAGTCCAGACCTTAACCCCATTGAGAATCTTTGGGATGTGCTGGAGAAGGCTTTGCGCAGCGGTCAGACTCTACCATCATCAATGCAAGATCTTGGTGAAAAATTAATGCAACACTGGATGGAAATAAATCTTGTGACATTGCAGAAGCTTATCGAAACAATGCCACAGCGAATGCGTGCCGTAATCAAAGCTAAAGGCGGTCCAACGAAATATTAGAGTGTATGACCTTTTTTTTTTTGGTGGTGACTTTTTTTTTGGCCAGGCAGTGTATATATGAGAACCTGGTGAGCTCCATAGATCATACATCTAGACTCTAACTAAATGCTAAGTCATATCAGCTGAGATATTTTTAAGAGGAAGAGTCAGAGCAAAGAATAAATCTTATTACATCTCCCCAGAGAGCAAAACTTGTCTGAAGGAATCAATATTATTATGACGGGCCCCCTAAGGCTTTTATAACCCAGCCTCGACTCCATGTCACACAGCTCCACAAGTGTAACGGAGCTAAGAAATGAAAACTAGAAATTTAAATCGTCCTCCAAGGTTGATTTGTTTCTACATTAATCTAGACATCAAGGTGGCAATTTCAACAGAAACTTGATTTGAGGGCTCACACATAGATAGTACAAAGGCAGCAAACTGGTGGAGCAAGTCGGGTCTTTATCCTTTGCTAACCTGGAGAAAGTTCCTCATGTGTTTTTCACATCCTGTTAAGGGCGCATTCACACCAGGATAGTCCAGGGGACTCCGTTCAATTGGGCAGGGAATGCCAAAAAATTTCACACCTTCATTTGGTTCGGTTCACTTTCACACTGCACTGCCTGGACAACGTCATGCAGTTACAACAGCTGCTGGTTGGGGGGCGGTATTGCCCCAAACGGCCACATTTTCCAACTTTTTTTTTACCTCTGCTTCTCCCGGTTCGCGCTGTTGGCTTTGTTTTTTTGTCTACCCAAAATGCACTGCGCTCTACGCCACTTCTTCTCTTTGGTTCACTGGATAGTCTGTTTGCATTTCCCACTGTAAGCGAACCATACCCGGGTTCACTTGCAAGTGAACCAAGACCCCCAGTTTTCAAGCAGATCAGGGTTCGCTTGTTTGGTCCGCAACAGAGTTCAAATGAGCGTTCACACCACTCCAAAAAAAAGAATTAGCCGTGGAAGCGGAGCAGAGTTTGTTTAAAGCAGACCAAATAGTGCCAGTGTGAATGCGCCCTAAGACTACAGTGATTTATTTCTTCTTCCGGAAGCAGCTATCAAAGAGAGAGTGTGACTATTACACCTCCACAGAGATGTAAAAACAAAAAAACAAAAACAAAAAAAATTAAAAATGTACTCAGGAATATGAAGTCCTCTCAGCTCACCGGGAACAGGAGCAGTGTGGTTTGAGGAGGGCTCCTGAGGCTTCAGAGGAGGCAGGGGGCCGTTTCTCTCCTCCTGCAATGGGCTGCCCTGCAGAACACCACCACATGTAACTAATTTAACCTTTACTCATAAAGCACCTCTAAAAAATGGAAAAAAGTTGGATAATAAAATAATATTCTAGTTCAAATGGCTTCCACTGAAATTTAAACAAATTATGGTGCTTTTAGAAAATCAAAGGTAGATGTTGGTGTTAAAACTGAGGCAGATGGCTACAGAGCAGTCAAGTCAGAACAATAACAATAATGAGGGCCAGCAGTAAAAAACCTTTCAGGACACCCAAAAGGGAAAAAAAAACACTGATGGCTTGAAAACTGTAGCAAATCAGAGCCCCACCTTCTCTCCGTCCTCTTCTTCCTCCTCATCTACGAAGGCAAAGGACTCCCAGCTGTGTTTCTGAGATTGGTTCTGCTCCTGTAGACTCTGACCCTGAGTCCAAACCAAAGGTAAACACATCACTGCAAACTGCTGCTGTCACTATAGAGCTGGTTAATTAATCGATTAGTAACTAATCTGCAACCATTCTGATAACTGAATAAATATTTCAGTCATTTTTCGAGCAAAAATATCAAATATTTACTGCTTCAAGTTTCTTGAATGTGACTTTGCTGCTTGTCTTTGTCATTAATGCTGAAAAATGAGTCTCTGGGCTTTGAACTGTTGGTTGGACAAAAGAAACAAACTGAAGTTGTCAATTTGGGTTCTGTGAAGTTGTGACAAGCATATTTCACAATTTTTTGACATTTTACAAAGGAGACGCGAGTGAATTACATGTAAATGGACGCAATGCAAACAAGGAGAAACACACAAATTAATGAAGCAAGCAGCCCAATTTCAAGTCATACATTTAATCGTGAGAGTTGAAGAGTTGAAAAATCATAACTTCGGCATTCAGATCTTCAGGGACATATGTCACCGCGGACGTACTAGCAGAAATTCATTTATCGATTCAGCAATTTCACGTGCATAAAACTAAAGTTTTTTGTGTGTATGAAGTCAGTCAACACAAAATATTTGAGCTGTTAAACTTGTGCAAGTAACGTGACGCAAAACTTTGCATCTTGTGTGGTGTGAACACAACATAACAGAATTGAATTCAGTGTGAATTCAAAACTATAATAATGTGTTTAATACCTGTGTTGTATTTCATGCTGTACTACATCACTCATTTTGCAAACCATTAAAGGGATAGTTTGCATATTTTAAAGTGGGGTTGTGTGAGGTACTTATTCATAGTCAGTGTACTACATACAGTAGATGTCGGCTGGCAGGCTCCCAGTGTAGAGAAGCAGCAGGAGTGCTGATGCAAAAGCTAAGCAGCATACTGCTGAGGATGGGGGCAGCAGCAAACTTTATTTTAGCCACCCACTCAATTTAAGTAGGAACTGTATTTTGAATACTTTCAAGACTCAACCTTGCTGTTAGTCAGCCTTTTCCTTTGGTGCTACATTTTTTTAACAGTAAAACATCTGTAAAACTTCCATATTCCCACGCATTACTACTTTACGCTGCAGATCAGCTGTTTGATTCAGACTTAGGGGTTTATGGAAGAGACAACAAATACAAGAAAGTAAATGAATTATCGACTATTGCAGCAACAACAAAGCAAAATGTCCACTTAATGTGATATTGATTTGTGACATTTTGCTGCTGCCCTCGTCCACAGCAGTGTATTGCTACACTTCTGTTTATGGTACTCCTGCCTCCTCAACTGGGGTGAGCCAGCTGTCATCCACTGCTGATCATACACTGATTATGGTGGATTAAGTTTTAAAAAATTCTGAATTATCCCTTTAAATCATTTTACTGAGCTTAATGGGGTTTATTTTTCTTCAGCTTCTTCATTGAAACGCAGTATGAGGCTATTCGACTTTCCACTAAAAAGCCAGACTGCAGCAGCTTTGTCTATGTCAATGTTTACATTCCTACTTTAAGCTTTATCTGTCCTTTTCATGTTGTAAAGGTATTTTAGCTTGCAGAAAATATTTGCTTGCACTAAATTATGTCAGCATGTGGTCAATAGTTTGGTGTCTGACTGTCCTCACCTGCATCAGGAGCCTTCTCTCTGGTGACAACCACCAATCACAGAGAGCCAAAAGCTCCAACCTGTCAATGCTGCCCAATAAGATCATAGAATCTGGAAGCAGGAGAGAGAAATACAATTGTTACACACAGTCTTCAACTGTGGCTGTAAAAATATTCATCAGAGACAATAAGTAGTTTTAGTTTCATATGGCTTAGAGATGATGACAGTTACTGTGAGACTTAAATTCATTCATTCATTCATCTTCTAACCGCTTCATCCTCTTGAGGGTCGCGGGGGGGCTGGAGCCTATCCCAGCTGACATCGGGCGAGAGGCAGGGTACACCCTGGACAGGTCGCCAGACTATCGCAGGGCTGACACATAGAGACAAACAAGCATTCACACTCACAGTCACACCTACGGACAATTTAGAGTTATCAATTAACCTAGTCCCCAATCTGCATGTCTTTGGACTGTGGGAGGAAGCCGGAGTGCCCGGAGAGAACCCACGCTGACACAGGGAGAACATGCAAACTCCGCACAGAAGGGCTCCCACGCCCGGGATCGAACCGGCAACCCTCTTGCTGTGAGGCGAGAGTGCTAACCACCACACCACCGTGCCGCCCAAGACTTAAATTAAATCTAAAAAATGAAACCAAATCTTTGTTTCTTATTTTTTATTCCATTTTGTTTCATGGCAACTGTTACAATTTAATTCTCAATGAGCTCTTTTACCTTTTGAGTCGACCAGTGGGATTGAACTGATGGAGGAGGAGTCCAGCAGGAGTTTGACTTCTCTGTATGTGGACTTGGACGATATGAACTTTACCTTCCTCACCATGATGTCTTCTACAAAGATGTTGTACTGGCTGTGGGGCAGACACACAGTTTCAGTGGTGGACTGAAACAACTGGTAATGACATAGGTTTAACACATTAAAGGGACAGTTTGCCCCAAAATCAAATAAACATGTTTTTCCTCTTAACTGTAGTGCTGTTTATCAGTCTAGATTGTTTTGGTGTGAGTTGCCAAGTGTTGGAGATATCGGCCATAGAGATGTCTGCCTTCTCTCCAATACAAAGGAACTATATGGCACTCAGCTTGTGGAGCTCAAAGTGCCAAAAAAATACATTTGAAAAACTCAACAGCAATGTCTCTTTCCAGAAATCATGACCTGGTTAATAAAGATAATCCACAGACCTTGCTGTGAGCAGTTTCATGTAGGAACTTTTTTCTTTCTACCAAACTACACCCATCAACCCATCAACTGTAACACTCATTTTAGTTTATCAGTTTCTTAGGCTGATTGTTCACAACTGGCAACAATCAGTCCAGATGTTATAACAGTTTGCTTGTTGCATTCATGCAGGAGATTAGATGGTTGATGTGATGATACAAGAGCAACATAAAAAAGAACACCTCTTAAAAATTCAAATAGCGTCGATCATTTCCTTTCTGCTGTGTAATATCAGCACAAACCTTATGTGTCCGAAGCCGAGCTCCGGCAGGTACGGTAGCTTCTTGACCTGGATGATGGAGTCATACAGGGAGGGCTGCAGGCCCTGGGCCACCATGTTGGCCAGGATTACTGCCACCATCATGGGCAGGATGTGGGAGATCTGGCCTGTCAGTTCAAAGCAGATAACTGCCGTGGACACCGTGTGAGTCACAGCCCCAGTCAAAGCTGCCGCTCCTGTCAGAGAAATGGGATGGGGTGATGAGGGGAGGGGTAAAAGGTGGATAGAGCAGGGGAGGGGAGGATGGAGGTTAAAGAAGACAGAGGGTGAGGAAGAGAAAGACGGAAGTAAGACGAAATGTGAGGATGGAAAAAGTTGAAAGGCAGGACAGAGGGAATAAAGAACATGTTAGCGTGTAATAGGCAAAGACACAAAGACGCAGAATGCTGGGGAAAGAGAGGTGGAGGTATTTTAAGCAGGGAGAAAAGATAAAGGATGGATGGATAAAAAAGGTAAGAAGGGAAGAGGAAGATTATAGGATAGTGGGCAGGTGAAACGAGGGAGAAACTGAAGAGGAGGAATCACATCAAAAAGAAATTCAAATTAAAAATAGAGGTGAAAAGAGGAATAGAATGGGTGTAGGGAATGAGGAGAAAAGAAAAGACTGCTGAGTGAAAAAGGAAACAGCAGTGAGAGGAGGCAATAAAAGCTTGCAGAAGCAAAAAATAGATTAATAACAAGGAATGTGAGGAAGCAAACAAAGGTCAGAAGAAAATATCTAAGAGAGAGAAGGATAACCTAGAGAGGGATAAAAGGGAGGAAACAAAGGGCAGAGTAGGAAGGGAAGGAGCTACACAAGGAAATGAGGAGGGAGAGAGAGGAGGGATGGGCTTTGTAGGGCAACAGGAGAGGCATTGAAGGAAGGCCACGTTTCTGGGTCGGTGGCTAAGGTGAGGACAGCGGAGAGAACCCACATTGACATTTCACTGTCAGAGCAAAGTGGCCACATATTCTGATGGAAAGGAGGAAGAGGAGGGAGAGGATGACAAAGAAGGGGAGGGAGACGAGGAAGATTAGGTGGGGAGGACAACCTGATAACGAGTGACAACTAGAGCACCAGGGAGGCTGACAGGAGAGGAGGAGGAGAAGTTGGAGGAGAAAGAGGATGAGAGAAGTGACAGGAGAGAAGGAAGAGGACACCTTGACCACTGCTGATGAGCTGAGGTTGACAGTTAGGGAGGAGGAAGAGGACGACACAGAGGAGGAAGAGGGGAGGTGGTCAGCTAGTCAGTAACACTTTAGTGATATGGACTGATGCAGTACTGATAAATGATTATTTGAACTTGAGAGGGTGTGCTTGGTTCACACTACACAACATTTCTGTCTGTTCCGACGGTCACTTTCTAAGATTATGCAATTGTGGAGTCATAAAATTGAAAAAATTATTAAAAAAAAAATAATTTTTTACCTCTTATAGAAAAATACCAAATAGTACGGAGCCCCTAAAGTCCCCCAAAAAGAAAAAAAAACCTATCTAGATACCAACTCGAGTGCACGAGATAGTATCTTGTGTGCACGAGATGAGATAAATCGAGCGCACGAGATACTAAAACGTGCGCTCGACATACAATTATTTCCCACGCTGAAAGCTGAGACAGGTCACTGTCTGATTCAGTACCATGGCTGTGTACTATTTATAGACGAGGTTACGTTACAGCGCAGCCAGGCAGCATTGGCTCTCTGCCAAGTTTTCCAGCGCATCCACTTGAATATCAAACTGTATTTTGTGAATACAAACTATATGCTGATGTTGTAAATAGTACAGGCTATAAACAGTAAGCAACATCTAAAATGATCCTCACTAATAACGAATAATGAATTATAATGTAGCCTAATAAATCTATACAGTGCGACCACTAGATGACTGCTGGCTGCTGTCCAGTCCAGTACACAAGACACACTGGTCTCTGTGAGCTCGTACATCATCTCCAGGTAGAACAATTACTGTAAAACACTTGTGGATATTTTAGTCTTATGTCCATGGACGTCGGAACTATTTTCTGAGGGGGGGGATTTTTTGGGGAGGGGCGGGGGAAGCACGCACACTTATCAATGATTAAGGATTTGATTTGAAGTTATTTTATAATAACATGCAGTTATAAGAGAACTAGAATGTTTTGTTAAGAAAATTAAACTTTGATAAATAAATCAAGCCATTTAAGGAACAATATAACCCTTCCTTCCCTAGAGAGAGAAATGTACCTGTGACTGTCCTTCCTGCCTGTAATTTGAATCTTAGCTTGAATAGAGTTGTGTATATGTGCTATATAGGGCTGGGCAATATATCGACTATTTCTGATATCGATATATGTTCAAACAAGATATGAATTTAGACAACACCATTTATATCGATATAGGGTCAAGTTGTGCTACATACACATCTGCATAGCTCCGTCCTACTCTCTCACTCACTCACTCACTCACTCACTCACTCACTCACTCACTCACGGGTTCTCCAGCAACACTAAGAGAGACACAGAGCTGCTCCTATGTTTAATCTGTCTGTTAATTAGTCTACAGTGTGACACTTCAGTCTATATGTTGCACGTGTTGTGCTAAATGAGTCTATTTTTAGGGGCATTTGCGAGTGCAATACTCGCACTGTTGAGACCTGTTAGGTCTATGGTAATTGCTCGTTCTCAGTATCTGCCTCTGCATTATAGTCTCCCTGTCAACTTGTCATAATTTAAGGTTGGAGGACAAAAGTTGAGCATATGATGACAAAATGTGATAACACTATGGAGAAGGTTAAGAGGTGGAAAGGTAGACTAACCAATGACTGCGTACCCTCCAGGGATGATACGGTAAAGGATGCCATCAAACACGATCCCATGAGGAAACAGGGTGGCCATGATCTCCCCTACCAGCCGGCCGAATGCAGCTCCTACGAGAGGAAAAAAATAACATCACCTTTAAAAGTAAGTACACTTTCAACATCATAAAGATTACATTCTATGTAACATTTTAATGTGATTATTACATAAATAATCACATTAGTTATGAGACATCTGAATGAACCCCGTAGACAAGCAAAAATGTCATCAATAGGATTTTCAGCCTCTGTTGGTCTCTAAACTGAATTTTTCGATGTGTGTCAGAAGAGCAAATACAATTCAATTCATCAGTGTTTCTGTTGATCCCAGATGGTGTTGAGTCTGATTAAAGAAATCACTTCCAACATGATTATGTCCAAAACACCACTTCAGTCAGAGAGAAACACTCGTAACAGCAACTATCGTGAGTTTCATTTTCATGAGGCCCCTGTAGTGGTCTCATTTAAATGTTTGGAAAATGTTGATGTTTTGTGCTGCGTGAGAGTGCAAAAGGACACATTTTAAAATCACAGAGAAACACACGCACACATACACACACACTCAACATGACCCTCCGTATCAAGAGCTGAGTTTATTCATTCAAAGTTGTTTGTGGCTGGTAATGATGAATATTTTAAAGTGAAGCACTGGTAAAGGTCACGCTCCAAAGCTTTTCACACTACAGAAACAACAGATGAACTGCAAACTACTGCAAATAAACACTGATTCCTAAATGTTGATCTGAATAATAAGAAACTGATATCCAATACGAAAGGTAATGAAACAAGAACTCTGGGAACATAAAATCAGTCTGTTCAGATATCACTAATTGGCAGCAAAATGAATCACACCACTCTACAGTATATCACTTCATTATTTTATCCTATTAGACATTTGTGTGAAATTCTGTCATAGCTTACAAAATCTTGAGTTATGGCCAAAAAACAAGTTTTGTGAGGTCACAGTGACCTTGACCTTTGACCTTCAATCAAGCAAATTTTCATCAGTTCATTCTTGGGCCCAAATTTGAGGAAATTCCCTCCAGGCCCCTGGTATCTTGAGATATCACGTTCATGAGAATGAGATGGACGCAAGGTCACAGTGACCTTGATCTTGGACCACCAAATCCTGATCAGTTCACCTAATGATACACTTTGTTCAATCAGTCTAAATGGATGTTTGTTCTAAATTTGAGGAGATTCCCTCAAGGCCCTCTTAAAGTATTGTGTTCATGAGAATTAGACAGACACAAGGTTACAGTGACCTTTGACCACCAAAGTCTGATCAGTCTACCCTTGACTCAAAGTAGGGGTTTGGCATTTTTGAGATATTGCATACACAAGAATGACACAGATGCATGATCACAGTGACCTTGACCTTTTACCACCAAAATGTAATCAATTCACCGTTGAGTCCAAGTGGACATTTGTGCTGATTTTGAAAAAAAAAAAAAAAATCCCTCAAGGTGTTCTTGTGTTCACATGGGAGAGAAAGACAAGGTCACAGTGAGCTTGACCTCTGACTACCAAAATCTAATCCAGTTCATCATTCAGTCCAGAATTTGAAGAAACTCCCTGAAGGCGTTCTTGAGATGATGGGACAATGTACGGCAGCTGATCACAGAACTATTACTGCAGTGGTGGAAAATAGCCAAAACACTGCTGATAAGAAAAAATCTAGCAAATAAAAGTTTTTTTTGTTTGTTTTGTTTTCATTTTAGTCAACCTCATGCAACCACAGCCAAAGTACACAAAGGCTGCTGTTTTATTTTTCCTCACCCAGTATGAAAACAGGCATGAAGGCCCCAGATGGAATGGGCATGGTGGTGGCCACTGCGGACATCCAGAACTGAAAAAAAGAAACATGAAATACTATTCAGACAACACTGATTGAAACGGATGAAAAAGAAATTGATTTTCAGCCTTGTGGTTGTATGCTTCCCCACACCAGTTTACATTCATGTCTGTGAAAACATATATTTTTCTCACACATCTTCCCCTCAGCAGCAAAGAAGCTCAATACAGTTGGCACAGTTTCAAGGTGGACACCTAAGATTAGTGTCAACAATTCAGTAACTGACAAAATGATTCCCATTCCGTTCATGAGATATAATGTAATGGCCAGAAAAGTGTTTTTGCAGAACATTATGATGTCATAGTGAAGTTGACCTTTGACCTTTTGGATATAAAATGTCATCACTTTTTTTTTTTATCCTATTAGACATTTGTGTGAAATTCTGTCATAAGTAGCGTACAAAGTCTTGAGTTACGGCCAAAAAACAAAGTTTGTGATCATTGAGTCTAAATGGATGTTTGTTCTAAATTCGAGGAGATTCCCTCAAGGTCTTCCTAAAATATCGTGTTTATGACAATGAGACAGACACAAGGTTACAGTGACCTTTGACCACCAAAGTCTGATCATTTTACCCTTGACTCAAAGTGTGGGTTTGTGCCACATTGGAAGAAATTCCCTCAAGGTGTTTTTTAGATATTGCATTTACAAGAATGACACAGATGCAAGATCACAGTGACCTTGACCTTTGACCACCAAAATTCAATCAGTTCACCATTGAGTTCAAGTGCACATTTGTGTCGATTTTGAAAAAAATAATCCCTCAAGGTGTTCTTGAGATACCGTGTTCACAAGGGTGAGACAGACGAGGTCACAGTAACCTTGACCTTTGACCTATGACATCCAAAATCTGTTCGAGTTCATCACTCAGTCCAAAATTTGAAGAAACTCCCTGGAGGCGTTCTTGAGATAATGGGACAATGAATGGAAAGCATAATACCTCCAGCCTCGGCTATCACTGGTGTGGAGGCATTAAGAGTGCTCAAGCTTGACGGAAGGGCAACCTCTTGTGTGATGTAACCAGACCTACCTCCACAATGCTCTGTTAGCGATGGAGAAAGGTCTGGAAGCATACATTATCATACTGCTACTGAGGAAAAATGGATTGTTATTTCTTCAACCAATCACAATCGTCTTGGGCATGGCTATGAACAGGATGCAGCGATGATGCTTTTGCAAGAAAGTGTTTGAGGGGTACTTGTTTTGGTGGAACATTTACACATGGGGGGGGGGGGGGGGGGGGGGGGGGGGGGGGGGGGGGGGGGGGGGGGGGGGGGGGGGGGGGGGGGGGGGGGGGGGGGGGTGAGCACTGGCATAAACAGGAGAAAATAACACAAAAACAGTCATATATCGACTGTGTGATTAAATTTTTAGTGAGAAAAAAAGATAAAGATAGAAGATAAAACATAATTTCATCACTGTTGCCCCAGGGGTGAAGCACAACTCTACTTTAGCTCTAAAGGAGCTAACTGGACCCGTTAAAACCCCAGACCACTGGCTTTTGCAGAACAATATTACAATATTACAGCAATATCACAGATGCTTGTGTGAAGTGGAACAGATTGAAACTGCCAACCAATTGCAGGTTTATAGCCACAGTGTTATAGTGTTTGACTCAAGTCATTGTTTGATTCAGATATCAGTACTCTGTTTTTTGATAGCTGGTTACAGCAGGCAATTTGTCAAATTTATGTGACCAACCTATGCATTCTGGACATGTTACTGTGGCTAAAGTTTGTGCCTGAACTTTACATTTCATCAGTGTCACCATGATGTCAGGGAGAAAGCAAGTCTCAATCCTGTCCTCTCTTTGGGGTCAGCGGCTTTTCTCCTGTTCTTTGTTTCCGTTTTCAATAATATCTTTGTTCCTGCAGATACCCACCTAAAGTAAGTCTGTTTGCCTGTGTTGCATCTCAAAGGGAATGACGTAAAGTCCTTGCGCCAAAGAGCTCTCGTCTTTATGTTTGCATTTGAGTGGGAGAAAAAAAATCCTCCTATTTGGTCATGGCTTGACCAGTTACTGAAGTGGAAAATCATGAAAATGTGTGTGTATGTAGTGGGGGAGGGGACCCAATCACCCTTGGGCGTCCTTGAGCAAGGCACTTAATCAACAGCTGCTCCAGTGAAGCTGCAGACCATGGTCCTGTGGCTGGACTGGGCAGATCAATGTGTGGCTGTGTGACTGAGGACTGAGTGGGTGGAAAAAATAAAAAAATAACAAATGTGCAAACTCCTCTGCAAGTTATATACAAACTAAACTGACCCTTCAAATGTCACTTCCACTGTTTGTCTCCAAACAATTTCCGTGTTCATCAGAATGTAACTTCAAAATAGCTCACCTAATGATACACTTTGCTCTTAGCTGCAGAGAGCTCATCAGCGATAATGATTACTTTTACTCAAGCTCCAGATTCCTGGTTTGTGTGTGTGTGTGTTTGAGAGAGAGAGAGAGAGAGAGTATGTGTGTGTGTTTCACCAGCATCCCTTCCCCCGGCACCACGCACAGGGCTTTCTTATTTTGATTTGAAGGGATTGGCGAGTAACACTACATCCCCGTTTTAACAGTCCAGATTACTATTCTACACATCGTTTGTCATCATCGTTTGAGAATTTAATTACTGTGGTACAAGATAAAAACTCATTAGCACGTCTCTCACAGGGTGGCACTATCCTGATGGCAGAGAGGACTGCGCTCACAGTCTTCTTCTCTCTTTTAATCCCGACAGTCAAACACAATCATGCTGAAACACACAGCGCTTAAAAAACAGGCGCGCGTGCGCACACACACACACACACACACACACACACACACACACGCACACACACACGCACGCAGGCATTCAGCACACACTTTCATCAGTGTCACGGAGATAGATGGGAGCAGGAACACTGAGACACAGTTAGATTTACTGTTTGAGAGAGAACATTGTGGAGAAAGAGTGAAAGTAACGAGAGGAAATATGGCTGCTTGTTTATGTGTGATAAAGAGAGGCAGAGATGGAAGTAAAAACAGCAAAAAAAATTGGAATAAAACTGACTTAAAACTGAGCGTAAGACTTATCTTACTTGAAAAAAAGGGGCAACCCTATGAAAGAAGACCTATCTCATAAACAAGTTGCTTGTGGGTTTCATTTGAAAGTAGTATAAATATATAAAAACTACAAATATAACACTGTGCAGTACATCCATACAGAAACAGATACATAAAAAATGGGTCTTGTCAAGAATAAACTTTAACGCTAATCTTTCTGTGTTTCTTTGTTTTTCACATTGGGTCCGTTCATCCTAACCTGAGGTCAGCCCCACTGAAGACCAACTGGAAAACAAAGCGCTCGACATAACTTTAAGTAATTTCTGTTGGTCATGTCAATGTTCACAAGCTATAGCAAGTATCTTGCTCATTAACAAACACTGTGTAAATAGGAAACCTATGACCTTCTCCAACTCTTCACATGAGCTTGTGCTAAGTTCGTTCTTGTTTTTATCTGTTAACTTGGAGGCAAGAGACATTCATCCACAACTGGTAAATACAAAACTTAGTGTTTCACCACTATACCCTTTTAAAAGCTTTAAGGTAAATTTTGGTCGAGTTTACATGAGGTTTAGTCTGACTAACTGGATATAGGCTAGACCATGGCTATAAGCCTGCCGTTAGGGAGCTGATTTCAGCCGGTATTCTCCTTTCCTTCCACCATCTGTGTGTTACCGCCAGTGTTGGAAATTAGTACCAGCCACCAGCTAAATGTCAGTAACATATGCAAGTGGCTGGTAATCTGTTTAGTGGCTGGCAGATTTTGGAATCCACCAGCTACAGTGGCAGGTGGACAAAAAAGTTCATTTCCAACCCTGGTTGCTGTTTCCAAATCCCCTTCGTGACAAGAACAACAACAACTTCCAAGATAACAACCTGCATGCTGAAAATGGCAAATTTTGGTAGAGAATTGAAACGTATAATAAGGCATGAATGCTTTAATTGTTGTAAAAATCTGTAACAAATAAACAACTTGTGAACACAACTCAAAAAAGCCCAGACTTAGTCTTGCAGGACTCTCATGGCTGATGTTAATCTCTTTTGTGACACAGCCAGTTGACGTTACTAATGTACTGATTGTTCCACTTCATATGAGCTTCTGTGATATCGTTGTACTAATGTTCTGCTAGAGCCCCATACAGCTGAGACAGTAAATTGTCTGTGGTTTTAATGGGTCTATTGAGTTCTTCTAGAGCTGAACTATAGCCAGGTGGACCTCTATAGGGCACAGATAATCAAAATAAGTTTGTCTTTTTTATTACTAAAAGTTAAATCATCCAGTCTGCATGTGTCTGTTAATGTTTATGTGGCGTTCTCTTTGGCGGGACTATTTTAAGACATTGCTCGCCTCACCACCTGCAAGTGTTCCACCAAAACATGTCCACCCTTGACACTATTTCACAAAAGCAATGTTGCTGGATCCTGGGCTTAGTGCCACCCAAAACGACTGTGACTGGTTCAAAGAAACAAAAACAAGCCTGAGTATTTTTTACACTACAGCAGATTGGTAATATGGTGATTCCAGAGCTTTCTGTACCATTGACACGGCAACTTGCTGTTTCCACATGTGATCCGTTTGGTTATATGTTTACCACCGCTTCTGATAATCAGTGCTGGTGCTTGATTTGCCATGTGCAGGAAAAATAGAAAGCAATGTATGGGCAGGTGGAGCCACTTAAAACAAGTCAAATAAGCAACATGTCAAAATTAGCACCCCTCGGATGCTATCATCCTTGAAAATAAAATATTATATAAACCATATTTGCACACATTTCATACATGCACACAAGTTTGCTTCCTATTGGAGTTTGGATTACTGCACACAGACCATAACACAGTTCAACAAGAACTGGTCGCGGAAGACCTTGTTTGGGTGGATCAGGTTAGGGTTTCATAGCCTGAACCCCAACTTGAAAAAAGCACCCATTTTGCCAAAGTTTTAGCCAAACTGGTAAATTTAAGCTAA